AGGAATACATAGGAATCCTTAGGAATCCCTAGGAATCCCTAGGGATCCGTAGGCATCCTTAGGAATCCGTAGGCATAGTTAAGCATCCTCAGGAATCCTTAGGATTCCTCCGGAATCCTTAGGAATCCCTAGGAATCCCTAGGAATCCGAAGGATTCCTAAGGTTTCCTAAGGATTCCCATGGTTTCCTAAGGATGCTCAAGGATGCCTTAGGAATCCCTAGGAATCCTTAGGATTCCATTGGCTCCTAAGGCCGTTGCCACTGCGACTGTACTGCGACTGTCATTGCGAATGCGACTGCGACTGCGAGAACAGCAGAATTCTACAACTGGATTCTCACCTGAATCTTAAGGGGAATGCTTGCAGATATGCTTCTACACATTGCTGTTGGGTTGCTTCGCCGGGATAATTTATGCTTTTAGGCCTCCAGTGCTAAAAAATAGCTCTCTGGAAGGTCAGGGAAGAAACGATTCAGGACGAAGAGCCAGCCCCAGAGAGGTGGCCCGGAACTCCGGGGCCCACGCCTCGAGAGAGCTGGAGCGGCTGGATGCCTGGGGGGGCCGTGCTGGGCGGCCCGAAGGGGAGCGAAGGAGTTGTCTCGTCTCCAGCTCCTCCTCCTCCTCCTCCTCCTCCTCCTCCTCCTCCTCTTCCTCCTCTCCTCCTCCTCCTCCTCCTCCTCCTCCTCCTCCTCCTCCCCCTCCTCCTCCTCCTCCTCCTCCTCCTCCTCCTCCTCCTCCTCCTCCTCCTCCTCCTCCTCCTCCAGCTGGCGCTCGGCTCCCCATCGGGGGGCAAGCCAGGGGCGGCGTCGCTCGCGGCGTGGGCGGCCCTCCCCGGGCCGGGGAGCGAGGCACAGACGTCGGCAGTGTCGTCGTGGGCGGTGCCAGGGGCAGCGTCGGGAGGGGGGGGGCGGCCGGCCCAGGCAGGGAGCGGCGTCGGAAGCGCCAATCCCCGGGACGGCGTCGCAGGCGGGGTCGGGCTGGGGCGCCGAGGAGGGGAGGGGGGGCGGCGTCGGAACCGCCGTCGGGGGCGGCATCGTATCGGCCGCCTCGGGAGGGGGGCGCCGGCCCCGAGAGGAGGCGGCGCCGGACGCGCCGTCGGGAAGGGCGTCGAGGCCAGCGTCCCCAGACATCGGGCGTCTCGAAAAAATCGAGACGGAGGTTTTTCATCGTTTTCGGCCTCTCGGGGCCCTCGCCGGGCCTCGGGACCGTCAAAAAACGACTCGGGATGAAAAGCCGGTCCCGGGGAAGTGGTCAGGAGGTCGGGGGCCCGTGTCTCGAAAAAATCGAGACATCGGAGGGGTCGGGAGGAGAGCAGCGGCCCAAAGGGAGGGAGCGGCCCCGGAGCCAGCATCGGGGGCGTGGTCGCAGGCAGCGTCGGGAGGGGGGCCTCGGCAGCGGGGGAGGGGAGGGCAGCGGAGCGGCGTCGGAGCCGTCGTCGGGGGCGAGGGTGCGAACGTCGGCCAGGGGAGGGAACCCTGAGATCGGGGGCGGCAAAGAGGGGGGTGATGACTAAGGGGGTGTGGATATCATGGCGTGGGCCATGATCTTTTCCCAGATTTCATGACGCCTCTTCTTATTTCAGTACGTCCCTGGCCCCCCCTCTGGGCCGTGCACATGCCGCCGATCATGATTTGCACCCCCCCCTCTTGGGCACCCCCCCTCTTGGCCGCTCCCGATGAGATCCTGGCGACTCAATTTCTTCGAGCCGGGCGTGTTCGCCTTTTTTGGGGTCCCGGGGCCCTTTCAGGTCGATCCAGCTCGCAAAATGACGCAGAAAGATGGGGTCCAGGGCTCCAGCCGTGATTACTCACGATGTCTCGATTTGTTCGAGGCGTCGGGTCTCAGGGAACGGCTTCGGGAGCGTCGTCGGGAGCGACTTCGGTGGCAGCAGGAGGGGTCGGCCATCGGGTGCGGCATCGGGAGGGGCAGGTGGACGTCGGACGAGGCGTCGGAGACGGCGTCGGGAGGGGAGTCATGGAGTGCGGCGTCGGACAAGGCGCCAATCCCAGAACTGTAGCTGATCGCAGTGGCCTCCCACTTTTCCATTCGCCCTTCGTTGAGCAGCGGTCCGGCACGCTACCATTACCAAAAACCATGTCAGTGTTCCTCAAGTTCCCACTCGCTGATCCCGGCACTGTAGCTGATCGAGTCGGGCTGTGGATGTGCGGCCAGCAAAGCGGCATGGGCCGAAGCATTGTCCAAGGCGTCGGATTGAGCATCGACAGGGCGTCGGGCTGGTCGCCGTCGTCGGGCAGAGCGTCGGATCGGGCGACGGGCTGGGCGTCGGGTGAGGCGTCGAAGGACGAGGTGCAGGGTTGAGCATCTGGTGGAGCGTCGGGATGGGCATTAGGCTGGGCGTCAGGAGACGCGTGCGGCTGGGCGTCGGGCGAGGCGTAGGGCTCGGTGTCGCCGACGAGCACGGCGCAGGGCTGGGCGTCGGGGAGGGCGCCCAGAAGGGCGGCGGGAGGGGCGGAGGGCTGGGCGTCGGGGGAGAGTCGTAGGGCACGGCGTCGGGTTGGCCGTCGGGATGGTCGATCGTGGCGTCGGAGGCGTCGACGGAAGCGGTCGGGAAAGGCGTCAGACGGGGAATCAAGTGGGATGCGCAGGGCGTCGGGCCAGGCGTCGGCTCGTCGTCGGGCTCGACGCCGCCGACGAGCACGGCGCAGGGCTGGGCGTCGGGCAGGGCGCTGGGACGGGCGTCGGGAGTGGTGCTGGGGTGGGGATCGGGCGATGCGCTGGCGGGTGAGATGAGGGGCAGTGCAGAGGAGGGGGGGGTCGAGAAGGACCGGGCGTCGGGCGCAGGGCTGGACGAAAGGCACGGCGTCCGGGTACAGCGCTGGGCACGGCGTCGGGGGCAGCGTCGGGTGCAGCGCCGGGGTCGACGACGAGAACGGCGCGGGGTAGGGAGCAGGGGAGGACGTCGGGTGGGCCGTCGGGATGGTGTGGCGTCGGAGGCGTCGGCGGAAACGGCGTCGGGAGCGGCGTCGGGAGCGGCGTCAGGTAGGGAGTCGAGTGGGATGTGGGCGCCGGGCTGGCGTGGGGTGAGGCGTAGGGATCGTGGGGTCGGGCGCTGGGCGAGACATCGGGCTGGGCGTCAGGCTGGTCGTCGTCGTGGAGCTGGGTGTCGGGGGGGGCGCGAGGCTGGGATCGAGGCGAGGCGTCGGGGGACGCGTGGGGCTGGGCGTACGGCTGGTTGTCGGGCTGGGCGTAGGCGTAGTCGTAGAGGACGGCGCAGGGGGCGATGTCGGCCGTGGGGTCGGAGGCAGCGCCGGGGGCAGCGTCGGGCACAGCGTCGGGGTCGGCGTCGGGCGTGCCGTTGGGAGGGTCGTCGGGATGGGCGTGGTGCACGGCGTCGGGTAAGGCGTCGGGGATCACGTATCTTACCAGCCTCGCTGATTCCAGTATTGTAGCTGATCACGTCGGGCAGGGGTTCTGCAACCAGCATCTCGCACTCGCTGATCGTGTTGGGCTGTATTTTCTCCGTCCGCATCTCGCTGAATAGCGGCACGGCCCGCTGCCACTGCCCACCAACATCGCATTCTCTGGTACCAGCACTGTAGCTGATCACGCCCAGCATCTCGCTGGGCAGCGGCACGGCACGCTGCCACTGTTCTCCGATGCCCCACTGGCTGATCCCGGCACTGTAGCTGATCGCATTGGGCTCCAACTTCGCAGCCTGGACACCGTTGGGACGCGGCACGGCCCGGTGCCACTGCTCTCCGTCTTGGCACTTGCCGATCTCCGCATTCTAGCTGATCGCGAGCGGCTGGGCGTCGGGCAGAGCGCTGGCGTAGGGCGGAGTCAGGTCGGGTGTCGGCCTGGGGGTCGGGCTGGGCGAACGGCTCGGTCCCCTGTGGCGTAGGGCACGGCGACCGCGGCTGCGGCCCCGGCCGGGGCCGCCGCCGCAGCGGCCTAGAGGCCGCCCGCGCCGCAGCGTCGGTAGCAGCACCGCACGCGGTGGCCGCCTCAGCAGCCGCAGCGGCCGCGGCAGCAGCGGAGCGGGCCGCCGCGGCGGCGCTCGCTGGGCCAGCAGCGGCCGCGGCCGCGGCCTCGGGGGCGCCGGGGGGCACGGCGGCGCGGCCCAGGGCACACGGTGCGCCTGCGGTGGCGGCCGCGGGGGCGCTGTGGGGGGGCCGAGCGCGGCGGCCGCGGCGGCGCGGCCAGGGTTGCAGGTGGGCGGCCAGCCAGCGCCGGCGGCGGGCCTGGCGGCGCGCAAGGCACCGGCGGCGCGGGCGGCGCGTGCGGCAGCCGCAGCACCCGCGGCGCAGGCGGCGGGGGCCGCGCGCGGCGGCCGCGCCGCCGCGGCCAAGGCCGCCAGCGCAGCACCCGCGGCGCTGGCGCCGGCAGCGGCGCGCGGCGGGCCCAGCGCCGGCTTCGCCGGCGACGTCGGCGCCGCGCATAGCGTCCGCGGCGCAACGGGGAGCGGCAGCCGCGCGGCATTATCGCCGGCGACGGGCCAGGCGCCCCACGCCGCAGGCAGGGGCGCCCGCCATGGCACCGGGAGAGGGGAGTGCCAGGACGGGGCGCCCCTTCCCAACCCCCCAGGGCACGCCGGAGGTCGGGGCCGAGCTCCAGCCCTGCGGCAGCGGCCGCTACGGCTCCCCTCGAGCCAGAGTGGGCTTGAGCCAGACCTCGAGCCAAAGGGCTACGGAATCGCACACTTACACCCACACACACACACACACACACATGCACAGACGCTCTTCTTGCCAGGGAAGAGCGCGCACGTTGCGGGGAACCCGAGTCAAGTCCAGAGAGTTCCTACCAGGCAGCTGGATATACATGACGTGGCCAGCTTGGGCGAAAGCTGGATAAACATGTGGCCAGATGTCGTTCCAGCGCTCGGCCCTTCTATGGCCGTGCAGGCTGGGCTGCCGCATCTGTATCCAGCGCGTGGTCTCTGGATGTTCCAGATGTGAATCTAGCCACATGTGCGTTTCCAGGTTTCTGGTACTTCGACAGTGGAGCAGGAGGATGGGGCGGCCGAGCCGCTTGGGGGCAGGAGCGCTCCAAGCCGCTCCCGAACGGCCCGTTCGCCATCCTCGGCCTTGCGGAGGCGGGATCCTCTCGCCTCGGTGTGCTGCCAGAGGTCGTCCCTGGTCCAAAGGTGTCAGGACTTCCAGTGAGGCCATCCACTGCCTGCACGGCTCCCCTCGCGAGGCCCAGTGGACCCCAGGGGATCAAAATGGAGCCATAAGCTGGGGACGTCTTGGGCCAGGGACACCTTCACGGTCAAGGTGTAGAAGATGACGTGCTACTCTTCTGGTGGCGCACCGCTTCGCGCTCTGGCGGCGCACCCTCCCCTCCCCCGAAAATCGAGCTCGATCATGAGAGGGAGAGCGTGCCTGCGCAGGCACTTCAGGAGCACACCCATGTCAAGGCACGACAAGTACAGCCAAGACGCTGAAATAAGGAACAGTTTGGATTCGGAAGGGGCTCGATGTTCCTTACGTCCTTCCGCGGTTGTTCATCTAGCCCTTCTCGTGCACGCAGGCTTTGTTGAAGCCACAGAGGGGCTTCGTTCCTTCTTTAGCGTTCCGTACTTCGGCAGCCCAACCGCAGCACGCAGCATACGCGACCGAAGCCTCGACCGTGGCAGACGCCCCCCGCCGCCGCCCCGCCGCCGCTGCTCCCGAGCCCTCGCCGCAGCCCTGGCCGCTCGCCCCCACCGCCGCGGAGCCGCTCGCTGCCCGGCGCGGCCGCCGCGGCCGCTCGGCGGCTCGAGCTCGCTGCCGCCCGCCGCGGAGACTCCAAGGATCGAGGGCGAAGGAAGGAAGCTCAAAGTCGGAAACTGGAACATATACATTACCAGTGGCGGGCCGTTTTTCAATCCCAGGATTTCTTGAGGGTCGAGGACGACGCTGGGGTGGTGTGGTGTATACTTTTTTCCCCGATGTCCCGGGGAAACAACGAAAAATGTTTACACCAGGGTCCCGTATACACCAGGATCCGCTCTCCAGTGCAAATTCTGATGCAGGGCCAGAAGAAGCGTCGGTGTATAGAGTTCGATTCCCTACGAAGGCGTCTCCAAAGCAGTGCTTGCACTCTAGGGGTTCTGAGTTGTGTTCTAAGGAGCGGGCCCTGGCGGCCAGTCTGGCAGCTATGTCGCCGCCCCGTCGCCGCCCGCCGCCTGGGCCTCACGGCCAGTCTGGCGGCTATGTTGCCGCCGTCGCCGCCCCGTTGCCGCCTCGTCGTTGCCCCGTCGCCGACTCGCCACCGCCCATTGTTTGGCACCACGCAGGTTGTTCCACAAAGGCTGCACAGCACAGATTGCACCACAGAGAGTATTAAGATCTACCCCCCCCTGGTAAACGGGCCACTTTTTCGCATTGCAATTTGCATACGATTCTGCCCCATCGTCCACCCTAAATATGAACGCATACCATCCCAGGCAGGCCGGTATCGCTTCCCCCTCTCATTTTTTGTAAAAAACAAAGAAAACGCGCACATTCTTTCATCAAAAACCATCAGTTTTCAATCATCCCTTGGAAAAGAACGAGACGAAGTGCACACGCGCGCGTCGTCGCGCGCGCATGCAGAAATCTGTCCTAAACCCGAGGCGTCGCAAGGATTTCAAAATCGAGCGTTCCGAGAACATAGAAACAATATGGCTTCGCAACAATAATTTTGAACAAAAACTGCGCCCGCGCTCTTATGAATTCGTAAGAAAACCATAGGTGTTGTCAACATGTTCATAAAATGCTTCCAAACTTCCCTCCCGCGCGCGCATGTCGAAATCGCTGAAAGAGCGCGTTCTGCGGTCGCTTGGACGGGGGGGGGGTTGGAACTGGACCGCCCCCCCCCCCACCCCCCTGCTTCCCCTCTCCTCGGGTCGGCGCTTGCGTCGGCGGCGGCTGGCTACGGCGGCGGGGACGACGATTTCCATTTCTGGGCTGGCGCCGGCCGGCGCCTGCGGCGGCGGGCGGCGGGCGGCGGTGGCGGGGAGCGACGACGAGGACGACGGTGGTGGTGGTGATGGGTTGTGGCGGTGGTGGTGGTAGCGGTGGTGGTGGTTGTGGTGGTGGTGGTGTGGTGGTTGGTTGTGGTGGTGGTGGTTGTAGCGGTTGATGGTGGTGGTGGTTTGGTGGTGGTCTGGTGGTGGTTTGTGGTGCTGGTGGCGGTGGTGGTGGTGGTGGGTTGTGGTGGTGGTGGTGGTGGTTTGGTGGTGGTCTGGTGGTGGTTTGTGGTGCTGGTGGCGGTGGTGGTGGTGGGTTGTGGTGGTTTGGTGGTGGTGTGGTGGTGGTTTGTGGTGGTGGTGGTGGTGGTGGTGGGTTGTGGTTGTGGCGGTGGTTTGTGGAGGTGGTGCTGGTGGTGGTGGTGGTGGGAGTGATGGTGTGGTGGTTTGTGGTGGTGGTGGTGGGTTGTGCTGCTGGTAGTGGTGGTGGTTGTGGCGGTGGTGGTGGTGTGGTAGATTGTAGTGGTGGTGGTAGTGGTGGTGGGCTTTTGTGGTGGTGGTGGTGATGGTCAGTGGTGGTGGTGGGTTGTGGTGGTGATGGTAGCGGTGGTGGCGGTTGTGGTGGTGGTGTGGTGGTATGTTGTGGTGGTGGTTGTGGCGGTTGGTAATGGTTTGGTGGTTTGGTTGTGGTGTGGTGGTGGTTTGTGGTGGTGGTGGTGGTGGCGGTGGTGGTGGTGGTGACGGTGGTGGTGGTGCTGGTTTGGTGGTGGTGTGGTGGTGGTTTGTTGTGGTGGTGGTGGTGGGTTGTGGTTGTGGCGGTGGTTTGTGGAGGTGGTGGTGGTGGTGGTGTGGTGGTTTGTGGTGGTGGTGGTGGGTTGTGCTGCTGGTAGCGGTGGTGGTTGTGACGGTGGTGGTGGTGGTGTGGTAGATTGTGGTGGTGGTGGCAGTGGTGGTGAGTTTTTGTGGTGGCGTTGGTGATGGTGAGTTGTGGTGGTGGTGGTGGTGGTTGTTGTGGTTGTGTGGTGGTGGTTTGTGGTGGTGGTGGTGGTGGGTCGTGGTGGTGGCGTTGGTTTGTGGGCGTTTGTTGTGATGGTGGTGGTGGCGGTTTTGGTGGTGGTGGTGTGGTGGTTTGTAGTGGTGGTGGTGGTGGGTTGCGCTGCTGGTAATGGTTGTGGCGGTGGTGGTGGTGGTGTGGTAGATTGTGGTGATGGTGGTCCGTGGTAGTGGTGGTGGGTTTTTGTGGTGGGGGTGGTTTGGTGATGGTGAGTTGTGGTGGTGGTTGTGGTGGTGGCTGCGGTGTGGTGGTGGTGTGTGGTGGTGTTGGTGGTGGTGTGGTGGTGGTGGTGGTGGTGTGGTAGATTGTGGTGGTGGTTGTGGTGGTGGTGGGTGGGGTGGGTGTGGTGGTGTGGTGTGTTGTTGTTGTTGTTGTTGTTGTTGTTGTTGGTGGTGGTGGTGGTGGTGGTGGTGGTGGTGGTGGTGGTGGTGGTGGTGGTGGTGGTGGTGGGTTGAGGCGGTGGTGGTGGTGGTGGTAGTGGTGGTGGTGGTAGTGGTGGTAATCGTCGATGCGTCCCCGCCGTCACCAGCGCCGGCGTTGCTGGCTGGCGCCAGCGCTGGCGCCGGCGCAAGAGGGGGGAGGGGGGTTTGAAACCCCCTCCTCCCCCCCTGGGAGGGAGGGGGGGGGAGAGGGGTTTGAACCCCCCCCACCCCTGGGAGGGGAGGGGGGCTCGGAAGGGGGGGGGCTTGGGATGGAGGGGAGTCCCCCTGGTTTTGATCGACAGCGCCGAGTGTTGGGGGGGGCCCACCCCCCGGTTTGAAACGCGCCGTCGAATGTTCTCAAGGCAAGCGCCCGTGAAACGCGTTCTCTCAAATCGCTCGAACGCCTTTGCGCGCGTGCTGTTGCAAGAATCCCTTGCAGCAAATGGTACGACATGCACACGCGCGTCGACGCGCGCGCATGCCGAAATTCCTCCAATAGCTTCTAGGTTTCGCAAGGATTTCAAAGACGACTGTCCCGATAACCGATTTGTTTTAGAAGTATGCACATCTATATATATATATATATATATATATATACATATATACATATATACACACACACCTATACGACCACCCTTCGGGTGATAAGGAGGTTGTAGGGGGGAGAGGGGGGGGAACCAACATCTGACCCAATCGATCGCAGTATCGATCTCAGTCAACGGGACATTTCGGGGCACCACGGGACACTTGTCGATCTCACTACCGATCTCATTATCGATCTCATGCAACGGGACACCACGGGACACCGTGGGACACCTCTCGATCTCACTATCGGTTTTACGATCGATCTCGCTATCGAACTCACTTTTTCGGACACCACGGGACACCTCGGGACACCACATATTCTCACTGTCGATTTCACTATCGATCTCATTCAACGGGACACCACGGGACACCTGTCGATCTCACTATCGGACTCATTATCGATCTCACTTTTTGGGACACAACGAGACACCACGGGACACCTCGGGGCACCACATCGATCTCAGGATCGATCTCACTATCGATCTCACTCAACGGGGCACCACGGGACACCTGCCGATGTCATGATCGATCCCACTATCGATCTCACTTTTTTGGACACCACGGGACTCCTCGGGGCACCACATCGATATCAGTATCGATCTCACTATCGACCTCACTATCGATCCCACTATCGATCTCATTCAACGGACACCACGAGACACCACGGGACACCACGGGACACCGCGAGCCACCGCCGGACGGACGGACGGACGGGCGGGCGGGGGAGAATCATTTGTCTTGACTTCGCCCTAGCAACGGCGGACACCACGGGACACCACGGGACACCGCGGGACACCGCGAGCCACCGCCGGACGGGCGGGCGGGCGGGGGAGAATCATTTGTCTTGACTTCGCCCTAGCAACGGCGGGTTCATTCCTCTCGCGCGCACACGCAGCTTCTCCTCGCCCGCACACACGACACGAACGAAACGAAACGATTTCCCGGTTGGGGGTCTCGTTCCCCTGCGATCTCACCCCCAACCTCTTATTTTTATATATATATGTGTGTATATGTATATATATAAAGACGTTGTTTGGCGAAGCGTTTCGGAGTGCGGGGCATGTCTCGTATTGTGTTCTTTTGTATGGAGCGTTCATATTGTTAGTCGCCTCGCATGGAGAATGGGGTACGTCTCAAGCAATTTGACGTTTGCCGCCTCTGGGCCGGGAACCGGCGCCGTCAGCAAACGGCTCAGGTCGAGCAAGCGACCTTGGGGAAGGTCTCGGGGCTTCCAGGGGGCCCCGCATGGAAGAAGCCAAGACGTCCGATGTCTGGGCAGTTCGCCGTGAAGGGGAAGGGGTCGCCGACGGAGACAGGTCCTAGACCCGGGGGGCTTTCTCCCCCAGGACCAGCTCTTCATCCCGAGTCGTTCCGTTGACGGCCCCGAGGCCCCCGGAAGGCCCCCGCGGGCCCGCGAGGAGCGAACAGCATGCCCTGGACCCGCTGCCTGCCAGGGCCCGCCTCTCGCATGACGAGGAGGTCTGGGGCGGCCTCGAGGTCGCCGCGGAGGCCTCCCGACGCCCTCGGAGGCCCCCCGCGGGCCCGCCGAGCCCGAAGAGAGCCAGCGGACCGCGACGACGACGACGACCACGACGACGACCACGACGACGACGACGACGACGACGACGACGACGACGACGACGACGACGACGACGACGACGAGGACCCGTAGGGAATAATCGAGACTGGCTCTCAGAGCCAGTCTCGATTGTTCCCTACGGGTCCTGTGTGAGCTGAGCTCTTCCAAGGCCGGCGGGGGGCGCTGCGCGAGGTCCGGAGTCTGTGGCGCGTGGTCACTGGGCGCGGCCTCTGGTCGTGGCACGTGGTCCTTGGCTTGCAGAGCATCGGCGGCGAGAGAGGGGGGGGTGTAGTGACGGGGAGAAGGCCTTCTCAGAAGGTTCGAGAGCCCCCGCTCAGGCGATCGCAGAAACGGATCAAGGGGGCGCGGATTAGCGACGGGTCCCGCTTCCCTTGGAAATCAGAGACTTACGCCGCCGAGCGAGACGGCAACGGCCGCATTTTGGGAAGGGCACCTCCCCCGATACATGGATTTGGCGACCGCGCGCCAAATCCATGGATCGCTAATCCATGTTTGCGCGGCCCCGACCCCCCGCCTTCGGAGGAGTTCTCTAAGCCTTCCCCGAAGACAGCAACAAAAATTTCGCAGAAGGCGCGAGGGCTTCTGAGAAGCCCCGCCGCCTTCTGAGAAGGCCCTCGCCTTCTCATGTCCCCCCCTCGACCGCCGCGGAGTCTATCATGGAACGGCTTACGATGCCATAGCACTGTGTAGTAGGTAGTGCTTTCCCTGGTGCTCGAAAAGATCTGTGTGCTCTGCTGCCGCCAAGGGTGTCCTTTCCATGCGGGCCCCCCGGAAGTCCTGACCCGTTCCCTGGGGCCGTCTTCTCCTCCTGAGTCGTTGTCCGAGGAGGAGGAGGAGGAGGAGGAGGAGGAGGAGGAGGAGGAGGAGGAGGAGGAGGGGGAGGGAGAGGAGGGAGGAGAGGAGGAGGAGGAGGAGGAGAGGAGGAGAGGAGGAGGGAGGAGGAGGAGGAGGAGGAGGAGGAGGGGAGAGGAGGAGGGAGGAGGAGGCCCCAGGGCTCGGCAGGGGCCCCCCGGAGGCCGAGGACGTTCAAGACCAGGTCGTGAGGTTTGTCGAAGCCGTTGGACGTCCAGGACGACGGCGACGACGACGACGACGACGTCTCCCCGGGGCTGCCTGTCCTCCTCCTCCCCCTCCCCCCTCCTCCTCCTCCTCCTCCTCCTCCCCTCCTCCTCCTCTCCTCTCCCCCCTCCTCCTCCTCCTCCTCCTCCTCCTCCTCCTCCTCCTCCTCCTCCTCCTCCTCCTCCTCCTCCTCCTCCCCCTCCCCCTCACCTCCTTTCCCTCCTCCTCCTCCTCCTCCTCCTCCCCCTCCTCCCCCTCCTCCTCCTCCTCCTCCTCTCCTCTCCTCCTCCTCCTCCATCTCCTCCTCCTCCCTCCTCCTCCTCCTCCTCCTCTTTCCTCTCCTCCTCCTCCTCCTCGTCCTCCCCCTCCTTCCTGTCCTCCTCCTCCTCCTCCTCCTCCTCCTCCTCCTCCTTCTCTCTCCTCCTCCTCCTTCTCCTCCTCCTCCTCCACAGTTACTCAATCTGAATACTACTCTCCCTCTTCCCCCGATGGCGGCCTGAAAGTATTGGACCCCCCCCCGCGTCTTGTTTTTTTACACAGGATTCCCGGGAGTTGGGTTTTCGCTTGCATGTTTTCAAAATGCTGCTCTCGCCGAGGCGCCGGCCTCATTTTCGGGCCCCGCTCGTTCCGAATCGTGCTCCCGCTGCAGCGTTGGCCTCATTTCCGTGCTTCCGCTCGTTCCGAATCGTGCTCCCGCTGCAGCGTTGGCCTCATTTCCGCGCTTCCGCCCGTTTCGACTCGTGCTCCCGCTGCAGCGCTGGCGTCATTTCCCGTGCCATGCCACAGCACACGCGCACACACGCACACGCACACCACACGCACACACACACACACCCACCACACCCCACCACCACCACCCACCACCAACCACACCACCACCACCACCACACCACAACAACCACCAGCACCAGCACACCACCACCACCACCACCACCCACCACCACAACCACGCACACACGCACACGCACGCACGCACGCGCACCACCACCCACTAGTCCGCGGATAGAGAAAATCAGCGCCATGGTAAGGGATGGGAGGGAGGGGTAGGACGTCAGATATGACGCGCGCGCACCTAGCTTGTCCTCCCCCCTCCTCCTCCTCCTCCTCCCCCTCCCCCTCCTCCCCCCTCCTCCCCCTCCTGGCAGAGAGCTCCCCTGTCTCCCGCCTCCGGCCCGGGGCGCAGAGGCCCTCTCGTACGTCACCACGTTCGCGCTTGTCCTCGCGGCGGTGGTGGTGAACCTGGCCCCAGGCGGGCGCGCGGGGGGGGTCTCGGGCGAAGAGAGCCAGTGCGGACGATTGCGCCGACCCTGGCCAGGCCTATCCTGGGCTCAGGGTGGGTGCCCCTTCTCCTGGGCTCAGGGTGGCTGTGAACCTGGCCCCAGGCGGGCGCGCGGGGGAGGGGGGGCTCGGGCGAAGAGAGCTAGTGCGGACGATTGCGCCGACCCTGGCCAGGCCTAGTTCTTGGGCTCAGGGGGGGTGCTCCTTCTCCTCCTGTTTCTCCGTGTCGTCCTCACCCTCCTTGCCTCAGTCTCGTATTCATGCCAGCGCCGGTCGTACGTGTGTCCTCGTCGCCTACCAGTGTTTCGGACTTTTCGAAGTCGTCATCCTTCATGGTCGTCCTCCACCTTCGTGGTGGTGCTGATGATGGCCACGGGCAAGAAAGTGATGAGGAGTAAGACGGCGGGGAGGGGGCGTGGGGCCCTGAGCGAGAAGGGGGGAAACAGGATAGGCAAGAGTAGTATGATGAGGAGGCGGATTACGAGGAGGAGGAAGAAATGTGAGGAGGGCAAGCAGGATTACTGGTATGAGGAAGCAGGAGGGGGGTCAGGAGGAGAAGGAAGCGGAAACAGAGGTGGGGGACGCAGAGGATGAAGGATGAGGGAGATGAGGCCTGAACCTGCGTGTTCGCAGGTGCTGCGCAATCGGGTGATGCACTGCATCTGAAAATGTGGTCTTCATGCGAAAAACAAGCGGCCACATGTGATGCCACAACTGTTGCGCAACCGGGGGCCACAACATATGTAGAAACGCGTGTGTTGGTCATGTTGTTCGTTGCTATCCTTTGGCTGCCTGGTTAGCTTCTGTATTGATTTGTTGCTGCTGCTCGTGTTTTGCATTTTCGCCGGCCCGCGCCCTGGCGCTGCGCCAGCACTCGAGCCGCCAGTTGTGAGCAGGCGACAATGAGAAACAAATGTTCGCTGGTTTTGCGCAATCGGGGGCCGCAAGCCATGTGAAAATAGATTCCTTCATACGAAAAACAAGCAGCGGCACCATACCGCACATGGAAGCAATCGAACCACATTACCAATCGATCGTCCTCCCCACCTACCCTGGACTCCTCCCCACTCCTTGGAATTCCTTCCCACTTCCGATTCCTCCCCACTCCATCGCACTCCCTCGCGCTCCTCCACTCCTCCAGAGTCATCTCGGAGTCCTGTCTGCTGTGCTTCCTAAGCGCTCCGCCCCGTTCCTCGGGACTCCCCCCTACTCCATCACTTGTCGGCACATCTCCCACTCCTCGGGGCTCCTCCCTCATCCTCTCTCCATCGCACTCCTCCGCGCTCCTCCCCATTCCTCCAGACTCCTGCCCACTCTATCGCACTCCTCGGCGCTCCTCCTCGACCCCCGGGCCCCTCCCTGCCCCCCCACCCCTTTCTTTAACACTGACCGACGTAGCAGAGCAGGCAGAGGCAGGGCCCACCCAGCAAGCTTGCATCGAGGGTGCCCCCCCAAGCCCCCCTCTTTAAAATTGGCGTTGAGCAACTCCGCAGCGGACGGCGCACCGCAGCAGCATTGAAGAGCGGGGTTGAAGGGGTCTCTGCCGGTGGGCTCCGCGGCGCCCAGTCCTTGCAATGCTCGTCGCGGCGGCGGGGCGAGGCCAGGTCGTTATCCACTGGCCGTGCCACTTGACATTGAGGAGAGGGGTCATGGGGTCTCCGGCCTCAGACAATGCTAGCGTGTGCACTGGTTCGGTTTCACGTTCTGTCTACCGTGTGTGTTCACACGTCTGCGCCAGTGGAAGCCGCAAAGCCGTTGGAACACACGCGGTTGCTGGTTTGCCTCCCTTGTCTGTTCTGCACTTGTCGTTGGTTGCCTGTGTCTGTCTTGCCTGTTTGCATGCTTTGGATTCTCGCCTGCTCGCTCGGAGGCGGGGGGGGCGCCAGCGGAGAGGCAGGACACCGTCGAAGCACCTAAATCATTGGAACTTTAACTAACACAAACATCACACGCGCGAAAGAAGTAAGAACAATAATGAGAAGATGACAAAGTACAGAGTGGAACAAGTGGACGTTGCCCAAATAGTACCACTGTTACCCCTTACCCCGCCCCCTTCGCCATCGTCCTCCGCGTCTGACGCGACAGCACGGCATGGCGAGGCAGGGAAGAAGAGCGCCAGATGGTGCGCCCCGCATTCTCGTGGATCTTGGAGCCTTGGCGACCCAGAACCGTCACATGGGATAAAGGGAGAGCCCTCGGGTCACCAGCGAAGAGAGGGCCCAAGGCCCAGGGGGGCCCAGCGCTGGGAGATGTCCTACCTTCACATCCGCCTCCGAGCACAACTGAGACTGGACCTGGGGCCACCAGACCTGGGATTCCACCGTCCTCCACCTCGTCTTGCTGCTCCTCCTCCTCCTCCTCCTCCTCCTCCTCCTCCTCCTCCTCCTCCTCCTCCTCCTCCTCCTCCTCTCATCATCATCATCATCATCATCATCATCATCATCATCATCATCCGCCTCCTCCTCTTCTTTTCCTCCTCTTCTTCTTCTCCTCCTCCTCCTCCTCCTCCTCCTCCTCCTCCTCCTCCTCCTCCTCCCCCTCCCCCTCCTCCTCCTCCCCCACTCCTCCTCCTTAGAAGCAACTCCTCGTCGTACCATCTGACGCACCACTATGCCCGGCCAGACGTTTCGCTTCAGATCTCTTCACTGCTTATGGCATTGCAGCTGTAACTTACAACGGCTACGTGAAGGGCGAATCGCGTTCACAATGTAGCTCTCGCACCAGCGTCGCGCACATTCCTTGAAAACAGCCGACGGCCATACGGGAGGGCGAATATAGTTCAACATGTTGTTGTCGCGGCAGCGCCGCGCACAGTCTCCTCAGATCGTCAAAGAGCTACACGGATGGTAGCGGTTCCCTTCCAACGTGCGGCGCTTGTTCGGCATACCCATCAGTTTGCTTGCCAGAAGTGTAAGGATGCGGAACAGTTCTACGCATGGAGGGCGGCTCCTTCTTTTAATAACGGGAATATCGTTGGACACTCCTTTTGCACTTTACGATCATGCCTCCCGGCGCTTCCTAGAGCTGGAAGGATGCAGGGCGGCACGTGTTCAAAGCAGGGCTCGCGCCGGAACGGCAGGACCATCGGGGCGCTCACCCTTCCAGGAGGGCCATTGTGGAGACTCTGGGGGCCAGGGCTCTCGGGGGCAGGAGGGCGCAGCGCAGCGCCGTTGGCGCCTCCCGGCTGGCTCTGGTAGTACTCTTGCCGACGCTTGCCTCTGCGGGCCGTGCCGACCGAGGGCCGAGGCCCGGAGGGGCCTGGCTCTCATCATGCCAGTCCTTAGGTTCCTCCGTCTGCCCCTCGATGCGTCGCCGGTGGCAGCAGGGCCCTCGACAGAGACAGCTTGCGGCTGCCAGTGGATGCGGAAGCACAAAACTATGGGCATCGCCACCTGAAGCTCTCTCTGGAGCTCCACTGCGGGCCCCGAGATCAGACCCGCCCTCCTCCGGCGTGCGGGCGCCAGGGCGGTCTGTGCCGCCGAAGCCCGCGCCGCGCCGCGCCCGACGCGCGGCGAGGCGCACCACCGCTTCTGGGCGAGGAGCCCACGAGGGCTCAGCCCCCCCGGGGCCCCGCCAGGGAAGGGAAGGAAGCCTCCAGGGTCTGGAGGAAAAGGAACGGCGGGGACCCCGTTTGGAAACGACCGCGGGGCCAGCTAAGACGGGGGCCCTCTAGCGTTACCGCGCGGCCCCGCGGGGCCAGGTTCACAGGAGTCCGGAGTCCTCATGCCCCCTGGCCTCCAGGGGGGCGCACTCGATGGGGGAGTCGATCATCTCGTCGCAGTCCTGATGTTGGGTTGGTCGGGCAGGCTCGCTCTCTCCGAAGTAACGGTCGTAGTGGGTCACGTATTCGATGAGGCCGCCTATTTGTTGTTCGTCGTTGTGGCTGCTTCCGCGTGCTGCCATCAGGATTCGTGTAGTATCGCCGTCGCCGTCGCCGTCGCTGGTGTGTTGGAAGTGCTTGTTTGCGATAAAAGGAGTCGGTCATGGTGACAAGGTTGTGGCTCTTCAGGTGTTGTTCGTGTGGGGCGGATGATGTTCATCAAGCAGGCCGCGTCGTTGGCGATGCACGCGTACATAAGGAAGATGGCGTCACGTATCTTTGCGTTGTCATCCATGATGTTTGTTGAGTCGTGTCTGCTGGAGTCTCTTCTGCCCCACGGGTGTTGCTCGTCGCGCAGTCGTTTTCTGTTGTCGAGGTTCGGTATGGATTTCTTGTAGTCGATGGCGTCAATTGTTGCGTTCCGTATAGCGTCGTGGATGGCGTTGTTAGTGTGGTCGGGACTTCTGTCGTTGTTCGCCTGACTCGTGTGGTTCGCTATTGTAAGAAGTCGTACTCGTCGGTGTTGTAGGTTTGCTTGCTGCTCGATGCCGTTGACGATGCGCATAATGTCATCACTGGTGGCATTATGGTCGGTAATGAGCAGGGTTGTCGGCGTCCGATGTGGCCTGTCGTCGCATGCTTCCGATGTCTCACCGTCGATTGTTTCGAGCCGCGTGTAGCATAGGCGACGATCGCGTTCCTGGGCACCTTCCGTCTGTCCTCGTCGCTCGTTTAGTGCTTCATCTGCTTGCAGTGACAGAGGAACTGGTGCAGGAATCATCGTGGTGAGTTCGTCGTCCGCGCCTGTTCATAGTGCGAGTGGTGGTCCGTGGAGTTGAATGCAATGGCGTTTTGCGTAGTCTTCGGGTAGTCCGTTGCTCTTGTTGGTCCGCCGTATGTGCCGTATCTGTTCGGATATGTCGTCTGCTGCGTCGTCGTCGAGCCGCTTGCTGAACTGCATGGTGAGTGATGCACACTGTCGGCTGGCGCTCATGTGCTTGAACAATCGGTTGACCGCCCAGTAATCCATCATACAGACCTGGCATGTAGACCCGTGGATGTAGTTGATGATGTTTTCCTGTCGGCTGTGCTTCGCGCGCATGTGTTTTTGATAAGCTGACCTGCTGCGCAGGATTTGCACGCATTCGTAG